TGACAAATTTTTTTTTCCTTCAGTTCTTTAAAGATGTAGTACTGTCTTCTGATCTACATGGTTTCTGACAGAGCTATTCTTCTCTTTATTCGTCTGTATATAATGTGTCTCTTTTCCTCTGGTTGCTTTTATTATTATTATTATATTTTTTGGTGAGGAGATCAGCCCTGTGCTAACATCTGCCAATCCTCCTCTGTTTTTGCTGAGGAAGACTGGTCCTGGGCTAACATTGTGCCCACATTCCTCCACTTTATATGGAGCGCTGCCACAGTATGGCCTGCCAAGCAGTGCGTCGGTGCACGCCCGGGATCTGAACCAGCGGACCCTGGGCTGCCGCAGCAGAGCATGCGCACTTAACCGCTTGCGCCACCGGGCCGGCCCCTATTATTTTTCTTTTTATCACTGGTTTTCAGCAATTTGATTATTATGCATTTTAGTGTAGTTTATTTCTTCTACTTGGGGTATGCTAAATTTCTTGGATCTGGCAGTGTAAGTTTTCAAATTTTGAAATCTTCCACCATTATTTAATTTTTTCTGACACTACTTCCACCCCATCTATCCTTCTGGGACCCCAAATTACACGCCTAGACCACTTGATATTATCCCACAGCTCATTGATGCTCTAGTCATCTTTCTTCAGCCTTTTTTCTGTGTTTCATTAGGGTGGTTTCTATTGCTATATCTTCAAGTTTGCTAATTTTTCTTCTGTGGAGTCTAATCTATTGTTAATCCCATCCCATGTATTTTTTTATGTCAGCTACTGTATTCTGCATCTCTGCATTCTGAAGTTCAATTTGGGTCTTTTTTTTCTATATCTTCCATTTCTCTCCTCATAATGTCCATTTTCTCCCACCTTCCTGAACATATGGAATATGTTTACAATATCTGTTTTAATATCCTTGTCTGCTAATTCTATCATTTTTGTCATTTCTGGGTATTTCTAATGATTGGTTTTTTACCTTATTATAAGTTGCCTTTTCTTTTCACTTTGCATGCCTGGTAATTTCTGACTGGATGCTGGACATTGTGAATTTCACACTATTGGGTTTTGTTGTTACTAGAATTTGTTGTATTCCTTTAAATATTGTTGGACTTGGTTCTGTGATATAGTTGAGTTACTCAGATCAGCTTCAAGCTTTCAAGCCTGGTTTTTAAGCTTTGTTACCATGGGTCCAGAGCAGCCTTTATTCTAGGGCCAGTTTGGTCCCACCTGTGAGGCAATACCCTTTTAAGGACTCTATTCAATTGCCCTGTGATTTTTCCTCTATAACTGGTCCAAACATGAATTATTCTTGGCAACCTGTGTTAGCTCTGAGGCTTGTTCTGATTCCCTCTTTCTGGTGGTTCTTTCCCCAGCCTCTGGTAGTTTCTTCCCATACATGCACAAATTAGTATTCAGCCAAAGATTTGACGAGAGCCCCTCTGCACACTTCTGGAGCCTTCTCTTTGTGCAACTTCCCCTGCAGTATTTTACCCCATAAATCTTAGCCAGTTTGGTTTCCCCAAACTCTGACCTCTGTCTTCTCCACTCAGCAAGACTGTCAGGCACTGCTAAGTTCTACCAGCTCTCTGCCCTCAACGCATCACCCTCGTAAGCTGGGGAAATCATAGGCTCATCTCTTTCATTTCTCTTCTCTTAGGGATTACTGTCCCATACTGCTGTTATCCAATGTCTGAAAATTGTTGTTCCATGTTTTGTCTAGTTTTCTAGTTAAGTTGAAAGGGTAAATCTGATCCATTTTACTCTATCATGACCAGAAGCAGAAGTCATATCCATTTACTTGTATGTCTAAATAATTTCCATGTATTTTTAAATTTACCTGATGCCTTATAAAACAACTTTAAGGCCCTCGAAGAAGCAGAACTATAAAGGCCACCAAAGCAGTCCTCTCCTCAGGATCATTAACCTAGAATCTGACAGTTGGATTCCAGAAGTCATCCAATTCAATCTCCAAGAATTAATAAATAATTTCTAGTATTGACATCCACTTGAAAATATTTCCTGGGCCAGCCCCGGTGGCCTAGTGGTTAAGTTTGGTGTGCTCCGCTTCGGCGGCGTGGGTTCGGTTCCTGGGCATGGACCTACACCGCTCATCTCTCAGTGGCCACACTGTGGTGGTGGCTCACATACCACAAAAAAAGACAAGATTGACAGTGGATGTTAGCTCAAGGTGAATCTTCCTCAGCAAAAAATAAATAAATAAATAAATAAATGCCTTTTGTTTTTTGATTGTGGCTTTCAATCTACTTTTGCAACTAATTTACCCTCTCTTTAACTTTAACCTCCTTCCCTTAATTATATATTTCTATTAATAATTAATCACCAGATCCAGTATAGAAATCCCCATCTATAATGTCCTTGATGTTATCAGTCTTCCAGCCTCCTTCTGTATTCTTTACAAGGCAGTCAGTTCCCACATTCCATTTTCAAGAAGTTTCATTTTTTTATATTGAGGTAAAATGTTAATTCTATCAATCATTAGTCCTTTGAAGCTATACAGAATTTAACTATTCACCTATATATAAATCCATTTATGAAGACATGTTTGAAAGCGTATTGCATGAACAGGCATTGTGGCCTATTCTTCTTTTAGGAAAGAGAATGGAGAAAGGGTAGTCTAATGACTGTCTATGCATATCTCAAACATAGGACTTCTGGATTTTATTTTCCTTATAGACTAAATCTGATCCCTTTCACTTCCAAGATCTTATATTTGTTGTCTATAAAATGGTAAGAATAATGTGTCAGTAACCTTATTTTGGAGAAAGTTTTAATGTATCCTATAACACTGACAGGAGACATAAAAAGAAGAGAAATAGTTATTACTGAAAATATCTATTTGAGAGAAGAATAAGATTAAAGAGAGAACAAATTACTTGCAAAAGAAGATTGAGAGTTCACAATTGATAAACAGAATTAAGTATTTTTAAATCAGTATGAATACTTAAGAATATCTATTAATTCCCCATCAGAATGTTAGCTTCTCAAGGGTAAGAACTTTGAAAGCCTGAGAAGTGTAGTACCTTGAAAAGGGTGCTTTTTAAAATAGTTCTCACCATCATCATGGAATGACGGGAAATGGCACCTGCTTTCAAGGTTAACATTATTCTGAATTAGGAAGACAAGCACTCCCTACAAATGTTATGGGTAGACGTGATAAAGTAGACATGGAATCTTCCCTTCCCCTCAGCTCTTCTAAATAATGTAATTTCCATTAACTTTGCTTGCTAAAAACCCAGTCTCTGATGGGCCCAGGGAATGGAAAATATGTCCTGATGAACACTGTCTCTGTAAGGATCTCACTGAGGCAAATGCCACAGAAAATAGCAAGAACTCAGCTCATATCCTACTCACTGCTGCCCCCTAGAAGGTTTCACATAATTTACAACAAATGGGCTATAATCTCTGTAGAATAACTGACCCCTTCCCATTTAGCAGTGGCAGGCAAAAACTGGAAAGAGACCAGAGATTAATGTCTACAAATCAAAAACACTTAATTGGTGGATAAGCGTTTGGTGTTTGATTCAAGGACCGTCTGACTGTCCTTGATTTTCATTTTGCCTTTTGATTTGGTGAGCTCTTTTTTTTTCTGTTATTTGATCCAATGTTCTAATGTCACTATTCTGAGCCGAAAGAAGCAAGGGTGGTTTCTCCTTAAAGCAAGACAGTATCAAACCTATCTTCCTCACTACTCTTGGTCAAAGATATTATTCAGGGAGCGATGAACTTCTGAAATTTATATCTTATAAACTCACCAGTGGCAAAGAGAATGGGGTTAGTCCAGCTGGCCCCAGAGAAAAATCAATATGCTGGGCAAGATATATGGCTCTCAAATTCTAAAATATCTAATCCTAAAACAATCCAATTTAAGATTCTGAGGCAGTACAACATAACATATAACACTCAATGCTTGGGTCTGAATCCTGGGCTCTGCTACTTACAAGCCATGTGATCTTGCAAGCTTCTTAATCTTTCTATGCCTTGTTTCTTCATCTATAAAATGGAGATGATAAAACTATAGTATCTACCTCCAAGGGTTGTGATGACTATTACTTGAGTAGAACACATAAAACATTTAGAATAGTGCCTAACATGAGGTAAATGCTCACCAGATATTAGTCAATATTATTATTTGGACGGTCCTAAGTGTAAAAGACCAGGATATAGGTATTTAGAATATCTAGTGCTTATTATACTAAGTATCTAAAAATCCTCCATAGCTGTGAAGCTTGAGTATACCTAAAAACAGGCAGGGATTCTCCTAGAGGGCCTGAGAAAGAACACAGGTACTTAGGAAAAAAACGCAACCCAGTTCTCTTCTTTTGCTGTGAAAATATCCTTCTGAAATAAAAAAGGCTTCTACAGGTTTAGGAATAGGACATATCGGTTTAAAGAGTATAGTGTAATTAATCTATTTAAAATAATTAGAACTCTAGGGAGCTGAGGCCTATAACTTTTTTTAACCCAAAACATCAAATATTTAATAATATAATTTTTTCAATTTTGGTTTAAAAATATCATGTATAAACATACACTATTTTAGAAAGCTTATCACTCATAATAACCTAAGTGACCTAGAATTAGAAGAGATAGAAAGGGTAGCAGAAATGGATTCCCATATGGAAATCCCAAAGTATTCCTTCATACTACAACACCGTCAGCTACTAAATATTTGCTTAGAAGATGTGCACTGCAGAGCAGGTGCCTCAGGGAGTGAGAATACCAATGACTGAACGTCCCCTCCCTCAGTGTTCAAATCTTCAATACATAAAAAGATAAATCAGCAGTTCTCAGACTTTAAGGTATATAAAAATCACCTGAAATGTTTAAAATGCATATCTTCACCACACTGCCTCATACTTATTCAGGAGAATGGAGAGCTCATTCTGATGTAGGTCATCTGAGGACCACACTTTGAGAAACAGTGAGTTAATGCCTTGATTTAGTTTTCACTTAATATTCACTTACTATTTCAATATAAAAATGGATGCAAGATTACCTCATCATTGAGCCAGTTCAGATGGTTTAGAGTTTGAATATCTTTGCGTGTAATGGTCAAGCGGAATGCTTCACTCAGAACTTCATCCTGGTTCCCATTACGAAATACATTCTTTATTTCTTTCTCCATTTCCTAAGAAACCAAGAGGTGTCAGAGATCAAGTGTATGTGGCTTCAGACACACCAGATTTCTCATCAGGCTCCATATAATCCCCCAGACTATATTTATCACTAATCAACTGTTCACTTCTAACAGCTTGGTTTCTATTCCTTCCAGTAATCTCCCTGATTACTTCCTGCCATCCCCTCTTGTCCTCCCCCTTCCCTTTTTCAGCACAACATTTCAGATCCTTGTTTTATATTATTCCTGAAGTCTGAAATAATGTTCTGCTTTCAAATTTTCTAAGTCCATGAGATGACTTAATTATATTTTATATCTTTGGTCCAAACAATTTCCTAAGAATAGACTCTTTCCCAGAATAACAGATTATTTAAAAATGTACATACTTTTATGTACTTTCTGAATTTTTATTAAAAAAAATAGTAAGCCTCAGCTTACTATTTGATGTCAAACTACTATATATGTACATTAAGTAAAAATGCACATGAAAGGAGACACAAATTTATTAAATGCTTTTTCACTGAATTCGCTGAAAGCCACCCATAATTCTTCCCTCAATTTTGAACAATCCTTTAAAAATAAAGCCGAGATTGTTGTATAATACAATCGAAAGCAGGAGATTCAATACAATTTAAATGCCAGGTATTTTGTTACTTTTATGCTTGAAATTCATCCAAAGCATTCTTTCTGAACACAACACTGCTAGTGTAGGAATTCATAGTATGTAATTTACCTCTGTGATTTCAGGAAACTCATCTTCACTATCCGTTAATTTACGACCTTTTTTTTCTGTTTCTTGAGCGATTGTGACAGGAATCTCCTTTTCAAGAGGTACACGAAGATGCAGTTCTACTGAATCATGTACTGAATGCTCCTGTTCCTGCAATCTCTGAAAGACAGAACTTCAGAATAAGTGGGATGAAGAAATCTATTTGTCTCTGCACACTGAGTGGCACTAGCTGGAGAGACCAAGAACATATACCACTTATCATACCATGCTATGCTACCATACAATCTTGCCAATTACAACAGCCTTGATCCCAAATCCAGGTAACCTTTTAAATTAGTTTCAACTTGGATGTGCTATTTATAATCTTATCCCAATTGTTTTTACCTGGTTTTGAAGCTGTAATGCCAGTGCTTTCTGCTCTTCAATCTGGCGCCATCTTTCCCGTGCTCGAGAATCATAAACACTAGTTCTAGGAAATGAAAAGGAAGGTGACACAAAAGTAGACCACTCTCTTAGCACCAAGCACATTGCTGATGCACAATGAGCATTAAATATAAAACCCTTATAAAGAAAGTCTAAAATCCTTACACTAACTTATCACTACACTTATACTTTAAGACAGGGTGAAACCACACGGTCTTATTGAAATTATCCTATTTTTACTGAAATGATGAAAATCATTAGTTTGTTGCTAAGTGTGAACAGGTGATTTTTGTGGATATTTGCAAATGTGTAGTCTTTATTTAACATCCTTCCGAGATTATAGAGAAAGTAAAGCTTCATTCTGGAAATCTAAAAATGAGATTGAATTCCAAAGGAGAAAATAATACAAGATATCATTGATATCATTTTAATTCAAATATTGTATTTATGTTCCAAAAGAAGAAATAATGGGTTTATTTTTTTCTTTAAAAAATCAACAAGACCAGGGAGTTTGGATAAGTCAGAGTGAGTTCTTGATACTGGAGACTAAAAGCTTTTAGTGATTTTGCAAACTCCAGAAATATGAATTATTCAATAAACTAGTTTTATCAAAGTGAAAACAAGAGCATTTATTTTCCTTTCTATATAAAAGTTAACTTTGAAATATTTTTCCAATTTAATTTAGCTTCAACAATTGTTATAGATTTAATAAACCTGAGCATAGAAATGTCCCAAACCCAATAGAATTTTAAAAACCCAACAACTTAAAAGTTGTTTTATAAATAAATATAAATAGAGAATTTTTACTGACTAAAAACAGGGTGATTGGCTAATTGTTTGATTCCTTCTAGGAAGTGATGGAGAAGGAAAAATGATATCAAAAATAACAACTTACAATTCTTTGATCCACAGTTCTGCCTGGAAAAAAGTAGGACTATGGATGGGAAAAGAAAAATGTGACAAATGAGCAGGAGGCTTATAAGAAAATTCAAATATTTTCACCAAGAAAATCAATCATTTAAATAGTCTAAATAGTTTATAAGAATGCTTTACAAATATGGGATAAATAAAAGAGACTAAATTACATAAAATAATTGTAACTGGGAACTAAAGGAATACAAATATGTGTCATCTGCATATACATAAGTTAAAAAGATGTTCCAAAGTTCAGCAGAGAAATTAAGTTCAGCATAGCTCCTTACTTGCACAAGAGACCAACGTAACGTGAAAAAGTACATTACTTGTCAAGATAATATATTAAGCTAGAACATTACTTTTCCCAAATGGTTCAAAATGACAGGTTCATTAATGATCTAATCAAATTTTATGGGTTCTTGGGATTCTTGGCAGTCTACTTGAATCAAAATATATTCAACCAGGGCTGGCCCCGTGGCTTGGTGGTTGGGTGTGCGCGCTCCGCTACTGGTGGCCCGGGTTCGGATCCCGGGCAGGCACCGACGCACCGCTTCTCCGCCCATGTTGGGGCCGCGTCCCACATACAGTGACTGGAAGGATGTGCAACTGTGACATGCAACTATCTACTGGGGCTTTGGGGGAAAAAAAAAAAAGGGAGGAGGATTGGCAATAGATGTTGGCTCGGAGCCGGTCTTCCTCAGCAAGAAGAGGAGGATTAGCATGGATGTTAGCTCAGGGCTGATCTTCCTCACACACACACACACACACACACACACACACACACACACAAAATATATATATATATAGTCAACCAAACCATAGTAGATACTGAAAACCCCCACCCACAGAATAGTTCACATCAAACGGCTAATGAGTCAACAAACCAAAGTGGAGAATCAGCAATACAACTCCATTAAAAAGATGAGACACCAATTCTATTTCCTCACAGAAACAAATGGAAGAGTGAACACTTTTCCAAAGGAAACTTTTAGATACATAGAACAGTAAACAGAGCGTCAAATTGGGAATTAAGAGAGCTGGATCTCCTGAAGCTGTCCCTAATTAGCTTTTGACTTGAGCAACTCATCATTTCCTGGGCTTTAGTTTCTGGATTTGTAAAATATGAAGAATAGAGTCCCTTTCAGTTCTACAATCTATCTTACTAAAGGCAAGAACAAGGGCTCAGACAGTATCCCTTGCTTCTCAGCTTAACTTTTGAGAATTAGTATTCCCAATCATTCTTAGGCTGGGGTCTGGCAATGAAAATGCTGTTCCATTATCTCCCCACTGTCACTGAGGTTAATAAGGGGAGAACATATGAGGAGATGGCCTATTCCCTTGGTGCAGTGAATAACTGATGTAACAACCAAGACAGAAAGCCACAGAGATTAATGCTAGCATTGTGAGGAGTTCCTTAGTGTGTGCTACTAAAAACAAATGAACATGAGAACACATTTATTGCACAATATAAGGAAGTGACAAGAATAATCCCGAATTTCATGATATTGGATCATGCTATTCAAATTTGTCTGCTTCCCTTATTAAAATATAAACTTCATGAGGATAGAAATTTTTGTTTTTTGTATTTACTACTGTATCTTCTGCACCAGAATAGTGCCTGGCATATAGCAGGCACTCAGTATTTATAGAAGAAATGAATAATGGAAGGGACAGCACTTCTCTGAGAGGATCGAGGTATCTGATGGCTTAGAAAAGCAAAATGCAGGGGAAAAAGCAAAATCTCTTTGCTTTTCAAAGAGATTATTCATTATTTATCATATAATTGAAGCATATAGTAATACCAATAACTACAACTCTTTACTGAGCACCTACTTAGCACTCCATATGTAAAACTCTGCTCTAGGTGTTTTACATATTAGTTAAGCCTCACAATAATCCTATTAATTAAATCTCTCTCTCTATATATATAATAAAGGATTATTACTCACACTGTACAGAAAAGGGAATTGAGTTTCAGAAGGATAATTTGTCTTGGAAGAGCCTGGATTAGAAACTATGTCTGTCCAATTCCAAAAAGTGTGTTCTTTCTACTACTGTAAAGTGCCTTTTAATAAACCAAAGCACTGAACCAAAATGGAGATGATGAGTACTTGGGCTACTCAAGAGAGTATTTCAGGTTTTCTAGGAAATCTAACAAAGATTTATTTACTAAGTACCCATCATGTGCCAGGTACTATGACTGGCACCAGGTGATAGTAACAAATGAGGTACAGGAATAGGAGTACTAGAGGGAAAGACTAATGTTATCTGGAATAGTCAGAGAAATGTCTGAGAAAAAATAATACCTGAGTCAGATTTTGAAAAGCAAGATAAGAGTTTAACAAATGGACAAGGAGAGAAAGAGAATTCCAGGCAGAAGAATCAGAATGTACAATGGCACAGAGGCATGAAATGGCGTGGCACATTCTGGGAAATAAGGGCAGATCTTCCTTGCTGCAACTGAGAGGGAGTGATGGGAGATTAAGAATAAAGAGCCAATCAACCAAGCCTTGGGAACAGCATTATTCAATCAGCCTTACCCCAACAGACCATTTCTCCTTCCGTCTCATTCTTCAGTCATCACCAGGAGAAACACTCCATAAAGGAAAATCTTAGTAAAGAGCGATTGAAGAACTGAAAGCACTCTTTACATGAAATCAACTTTTTCCCAAGAAAAAATGCCTACTTTTGTGCACTACATGTGAAACACCTTTATAAGTGCTTTATCTGTAAGTTAATCTTCATAATTCAACAGTAAGGCATTAATACTGGCATTTTATTGATAAGGAAACCGAGGTTCAGAAGAGTAACTTGCTCAAAGTTACATGAAGCATGGAAAAGGCAAGATCAGAACCCAGGTCTGACTCAAAAAAAAAAAAAAATGTATAAAGAATAAAGCATCCAAACTATAAAATCTCCTTGAGGAAATATAACAAACAGAGCATTTTTTGAAACATCTAAAGTTTAGAACATATAGGGGAGCTGCAAATAAGTAGGGGAACTGAGATGAGAAAGAACATTTTATTATCCCTAATCTTCTCAATGGAAAACTGATACTATTATCATTTGAGCAATCGAATTGCTAAGGCCGTATCTGGCAAAGACACAGCAATCTAAGTAGTAACCTATTCGATTACAGAGGAAGCACTTAATACCTCCCAGAGGGGAGAGGTTTCATACAGAAGATCACACTTGAACCGAGACTTAAAAGATAAGAGACTACTGCCAGATAGACAAGGTGAGGTAGGGGGGACATACCAGGCAGAAGGAACATGGAATGTGAAGGTAAGAAAGTACATATCATATTACAGTTCACCATATAATAAACACATGAAAGAGTCCTATATTTCCACATGGCTCCTTCTATCACCTCCATCATGTCTGCCCTTAAATGTCACCTTATCAGAGACTTGCCATGACCATACTAGATAAATAGCGTCCCCCAACCTCAGTCTATACATTACCTGTTTTATTTTTCTTCATAGCACTTATCATGACCAGGCCTATATGTTTATTTGTACACTATTTGTCCCCCACCCTCCCCTTATACTCTGTACACCTAGAATGTAAGATTCTTGAGAGCAGGGACTTCATTTTGTTCACTGCTGTTATCCTCAATGTCTGTACTAGTACCTGGCACACAGAAGGCTATCAATAAATACTTACTAAAGGAAAGAATGTGTGATAGGAAGTGAGGCTTGTGGAGGAAGTGCTTTGTACCATACTAAGGAGTTTGGGCTTGATTCTATGTCTGATAAGCCACCCTTGAGGGAGTTTAATGAATGATCAGATACGCGTTTTAGAATGATCACTCTGTTTGTAGAATGGAAGATGGACTAAAGAATAAGGCAAAGAATGGATTAGAGAACACGGTGGAAGAAGAAACGAAGAACAAAATGAAGGCCAGAAGGAAGACCAATTAGAATGTCATTGAAATCATTCAAAGAACACATAAGAGAACTCTGAATTGAGGCAGTTTTACTTTTATATTATGTAACTCTTAGTGAAGAAACTGATTCAAGAGAGGGGAAAGAATATGTTAAGAACGCCCTTTTTCCATAGTTTACCTGGGAGTTGGAGTCTGGGAATCTTTCACTTTGAGTAAAATCACAGAGTCTGATCCTGAACAAAAAAACACAAGAGCATATCATTATTAATAAAATTCCACACAGTTACACATTCTACATGTCTGAAGTTTAATTTCCCATACTTTGTTATATTCTATTTCCATAAAAATACCATAGAATAACAATAAAGGTAAGACAGAAGAGAAAGAGAAGCAGGTCCATTTTCACTGAGGCAGAAATATGGCTTAGTGAAGAGCCTGCCTCACAAATGAAAATACAAGTCTGCATGCCCTTCAGCATCCACTCCTAGGCTGTGCTTGCTCCCTGTGCTTCCTCTTCCTGTTCCTGGAGAACAAGAGCATGCCAAGATTTCTCAAGTCTTTAGTTCATGAACCACCATGAGATTGAATGAGGTGAAAGAGGGAAGGGGAAGGAGGAAGGAAAGGGGAGCTATAGGGGACGGGGAGGGAAGGCAGAGAGAGAGAGAAACAGCCATAGGAGAAGTAGCAGAGTCCAAGAAGTACCAATTGTATCACTGTATCATTTATTTTCTACATTGATAAAGGCAGGAATCACGTCCTTTTAAAGTGCTATGATTAGAATCTCATTTAGAATATTTATTAAATGGTACAAGAAAGTAATCAAACAGTTCAACGTAGTATATTTGTCCTAGTTTAGCTGTATCTAAGTATCTGCCATACAATATATGTTTCTGAGGTTAAAGGCTTTTTTTAATGATAGTTCTCAGTAAATCACCTCACAAAATTTAATACAAGTTTTAATGAATATATGTAGCTATATAATGATGCTACCAACAATTTTAATCCCCAAGTGAGAACTTTAAGAAAGTAACGAACAGATTTAAAAAAAAAAAAAAAATCAAACAACCTGAGGAAGGAGGAGAGAGTCTTAGAAACTGATCTGTCAAAAGATCCCTAACGTCTAACCACTTAACCTAAAATTTGTTTTAAGCTACATACCTAAATACATACCATAAATACACACATAACCCCTAGAGATGGGGAAAACTAAGCAAAGAAAATTATTATAGCAAAATTTTAATTAACTAGAATGCTAAGAGACTGAATATTTTGCTTGGCTGAAAGTTAGGCAGAAAACTCTTTTTGTTTCCAAAACTTGCTGCTGATCGTTCTAAAATGCAAAAACCTATACAGGTTTTGTAAGTATTACCTAGTTAAGAAATTTTACTTCAAAACTTAACTGATGTTCCAAAACTCCTAGAACTTCAGAGTACTTAATTTTCTTTATAAAGTATTAAAAACAGAGAAAGTACTGAAGTAACTGGGCTGAATGTAACCTAACTCTAGACTCTGCCAGGAAGCTAATCTTTTAAATAAAATATTATATGAAATCATTTGCATCTCCATGTAAGAAAAAAGTAAGTTACTTGTAGGTTTAGTTTACTCGTGGCATGGCTAACTGAATTATATGTATTTAAGGTATCTTACGTGTTAATGAGCCAGCCTTGGTCGTCTAGTGGTGATTGCCGGCTCTCACCACGGTGACCCAGGTTTATTTCCAGACAGGGAACAACATTACCCATCTGTTGGTGGTCATACTGTGGCAGCTGCATGTTGCTGTGATGCTGAAAGCGATGCCACCAGTATTTCAAATACTAGCAGGGTCACCCATGGTAGACAGGTTTCAGTCCGATGTAGTGGCAGAAGGTGAGAGGAGGTGCAGAAAGAGTGGGCAGGATTCTGCTCTGCTCTACAAAGAGTTGCTAGGAGTTGGAATCAACTTAACAGTACCAACAACAACAATTATATGTTACATGTATATTACTACTTTGCCTATAATTCACATAGCTCCCATCAACAGTTAATCGGCAATTAGGATTGAAAATATAGGTATACAATACCATTTTTACCTTCGGATTGTGTATTTGAAGCTGGTAAATTATCCGGCTGATGTGGAAGAGAGTGGTGATGTTGGGGTTGATGGAGAGAATCAGAATCTTTGGGTCCAAATGCAACAACATCTGGGGTATAAGATGATAAGGAATACACACTGTGGGACAGTGGTTCCTGGGTTGTTAAAATGCTGGCAGATCCAGATGATGAAGTATCTGAGCCAATGATCTGAGCTGCACAAGAGTTTCCATTTTTAAACAGTGAGTCTTTCAAAGTATTCTTACTGGAACTAAGACATCGAGACCTAGGCAAGAGAAGAATACAGTCTCAATATCAAATAACAAAATGTTTAATTAAATTCATTTGAAATATGTTTGTTTCTGCGACTCACAGATGTAAAGGAAAATGGGTGGTGGGTTTGGCTACAGAAAACTGTTTCCCTGTGACCATCTGTAGCAGCTGTCTGTAAATCTCTCTTTCTTCTTCTTGAACTGTCTATAAAAGAAAAAAAAAAAATCTTCAACACATCCAATAAGGCAAGTGTTTCTCAAAGTAGCATCCAGTCTCCCAGAAGCTCTGCCAAAGCTCAGGCAGAGTCCTCAAGATAATTAAGAATTACAGTTTATTAAGGATATTCTAGAAAATTATAAAGTGCATATAAGAGTAGTTGAGTGAAGTAAATACCAGATAGTATATTTTGGAAAATTATAGGGCATATATGTAAATAATAGTGCAAAGAAGTTATAGGATATGAAATCAGAAAGCTAACAGGTAATCACTTTTGAGTCAACTGACAGAGTCCCAGAAATAAAACATTTGAGGACTTCTAAATTAGGATTGCAACTAACCCCTTGATTCCTGATATCTGTTAGAAAAATCACAAGGAAGTAACCAGAATAGTCAAGATCATAGTAGGATATTTTGCTAACAGTTTTCTAGTCTATCCAATTTTTAAGAGCGTATTTTCCAGAGATGATTTTCATCTCCAACATTTATTTATTTATTTATTTATTTTTAAGTCTCAACACTGAATTTAGGGAAAAGCACATACTCCATACTATTCATTCATTCATTTATTGACTTAAACACCTACTGTGCTCCAGTCACTAGTGACACTGCACTGAATAAAATAAAGTCCCTACCCTTGTGGAGATTATGTTACAGTTAAACGGCCTGACAAGCAAAAAACTAGTGAGGTAGTACGAAGAAAATTAAAGATAAGGGAATAGAAAGAGATGGAGAGAGAACAGCAGGAACAGGTAAGGCCTCTCTAAAAAAGTGGTATTTGAACAGAAACCTAAACCAAGGGAGGAAAAAAGTTAAGAGAAATTTATCAGAGTATTCCAGGCAGAGGAACAGCAAATGCAAAGGCCTTAAGACAGCAATGTGCTTGATGTGTTCAAGGAATAGTAAGGTCAGTGGGAATCAGAAGAGTAGTAAGAGATGATAGCACTTAGCAGAGAACCCAATTACATAAGGACTTGTAACCACGGTAAAGTATCTGCTCTATACAGACCCCTGAAGCGATGGGCTGCATTCACTAAATAACATGCCCCAGTACTTATTTCTTTTAATCGTATATACAGTTTAATACAACCACTGATCTTCACAAAATAATTTTAATACTTTGTGCCAGGGATGCAGCATCTTGCACTGTGACATTTCAATGTGTGCATAAGCATTTTATTCAATTACAAATGTATGTTAAAAGCAAAATGAATTAAGCAATTATCTATGCAAAGGTAAACAGGCACTACGTTTTTTTCTTCTTGAATCATTTTTTGTTACAAAGTAAATTTCAATTGCACTGTCATGAGTATAATGTTACTGATCTAATAAGATATACCTTGGACTGTGAGGTATGACAACTCCTTATGAGAAAGAGCTACCCTTAAATTTGAATAGCTGAGTGATAAGAAAAGGTAGAACTAGTTTAGTATTTGGTGGAAAAATAGACCCAAGAGAAAAAACAAATTTGCAATGTGCTATATGAAGAAAATAAACCCCATTATTTTATCCCTTAGACATTCATATTGTATTCAAGATGTTGGCGGTCCTCTTTTCTAGTGTTTGTGAAGACACTGTTTACAATATTGGGTGTACTTCAGTGACAGCACAAAAATTACAATGGATAGAAAGAGATTATCAGGTATAAATTAATATCAATGACCAAATCCGTTGTTTTTGGCTATTCTACTAAAAGGGATATGAGTATTTGAGAAACAAATTTAAAAACCATAATTAAAATAAATGCTTCTTTATTAAAACCTAAATTTGCTATTATGAAAATTCTTTAAGTGGATAAGTCTAAAGAATAAAGCATCATTACAGATTATTGGATTGTAAGAAAGATCTTTGCCAACCAACTCCATAGTGATCTATATATAGGAAAGCTGTGTTCTGTGGCACTTTAGTGAGTGGAATTTTTGAACATCCTCCAATGTAAATCTTGACTCCACTTTCCCACTACACCAAATAACCTAATCCATAATACCATGGGGTTAACAGTATGTTGTTTTCAGGGGTGGTAAAACAAAGAGAGGGAAATGAAATCAGAAGAGGAATACTACCTGGGTCAAGGCAGTTACCTCTTAATCAACCAATCATTTTAGTTCATTTCCACTGTTCCACCACACTACATTTTAAAAAGCTTTGACTGAATTATCACATCATAGGGAGGAAAGTAAAGCACACAAACTGGTGTAAGAGGTTAATGTGCATACCAAGGAAATGTGAAAAAGTATCCCCATCACATAAAAACCTCAAAAGAACACTGAGAACAAACAGAAAGAAAAGAGAAAGGATCTTTATGGTACACTAAATACTTCAACCATAAAAAGTTAAAAACACTTCCCTCCTCCCTCACACCACATAGCCAAACGTTTTCTTAGAATAAATTTTTATACTTATACGTAAAACATGAAGAACCAAGATGCCATTAAGTGACTCAGCTAATTCAAATTACGAGAAATCTAGATTAATTCAACGCAAAGAACTGATGTTTTAAAATCAACTTACACAAAAAGTCACCCACAAATCATTTTCCCTAATAAATATATCTTCAAAGAAAGGTTCCATCTGAGCCTGGACAATCTCACAGTCATTATACAACATAAAGTGAACAGAAATAGATGTTCCATATTCCAGATAATTATCTGAGGTCTCTTCAAGCCTCATACTTTCAGTTTAAACTAACGGTTTAAAAAAGAAATTACAGAAAAAAGATTAAAAACTTTTCACTGTTCTACATGTTAATTTGGAGATCACAACAATTTATCTTTTTTTTAAAAAAGACAATGATGCAAGGTACTTTTCTTTTTTGGGTTTCATTAAAACAAAAAACACTGGGTATGTTACACTTTATTTGGAACCATCGCAGACAAAAAAAAAGATAATCTAGGCAACTCTCAAAAGAACATACATTAACACTTGGCTTTACCAAAAGAAAATGCAAAGATGTAAGTTACTTAAAACTTCAAACACAATCCTCTTTTGGAGTATCTGGTCCTATAAAGTAAAAGAAAACATCTTTCTCTGTACATTATTTATTAAACTGTTTTCTATTGAGTAAGCAAATTAGGAAATTAAGAGGAAAGGAAGCAATAATTGGATAATATGTTAAAGTAAAGGAAGTTGGCTAATGTTATGTTTTAAACCTAATAAAGGACGAAGGAAAGTTTTAAAACAGTATAAGGGTTATTAAGGTGCTGATTTCTACTAAGAAAAAAATGTGACAGATTCTTGTATTTAGATGCGTCTGTAAGAGGCTCCATCATAAAACTGAACTGTAAAATTATGAAAATTTAACAGAGAATGCAAATTTTAGCATACCAGTAAATCCACCTGTTATAAATTACCCAAATAACTTCATAAATACCCCAAGTCTGATTTTGTTTAAAGTAATAGCTTTATACTACATAAATAAACCTCAAGTATAAAAAGTACACATCCTTATTGGATAGTACGGTCCTTTTACATTGCCTTTGAATCAGCCATCAGCCAAGTGGTGGTACAGCTACCACTTGTGTATTTCCAAATTCTTCTTCTTCATGAATTCTCTTCAAACCCCTGTTGTAAGACTAAATAGTGCAGTGGTGACATCATCACGTTAATTTTGTAGATGGCTTCATATTCCTGAAGGTGATGGACAAATCCAGCAGTAAGATTAATACATAATTTGCCTTCTTTAACATAAGCAACTGCATCTCCCTTGGAGATCCCAACACTTCCATGGAAAATAACTTTTCCTCTAGTTTGTAAGCTCCCATCAATAAATTCTTTTGTCCCAGGGAAAAAAATTATTTTAATCTGGATTATCTGTAATATCCAAGACTAAATACCTAAATAATCTGTGGAAAGTTTGATTTAATCAAGTTTGGTCCAATATTTTGTCTTATTCATAGTATATGGGTTATTCCATGTTTCTGTACCACAGATGACTTGCTTTGCATAGCAGAATATAGACCTAAAAACAACTGAGGCAAAATTTCCTGCATCTTGTTTCAAAGGACAGGTTCAATCCTTCACCTCTTCTTCACACTGTAGAAGGAAGGGGAACTCCAGCTTCATGTCCTCCACTGACCCAGCCTGTGGCCTGGAAGACTGGTGGGAAGGATAAAATTATCGCGCCAGCCCAAGTCCTCAGGCTGGAAGTGGAGGCAAAAGGAGGAGGGGCTGAGTAGTCCAAAGGACTGGTTGGCTAGTGAGTGAAATAGTGGGCTTATAATGAATAGACAGTCTAAAGGACCCTGGCAATCCCAGCGGCACCACACAGAGCAGTGGGGGTTTGAAAGGCCTGTATCCAGCTGCCATGCTGTCGCCTTCTCCTTCCCCACAAGTCTCTCTGTACCCCGTAGGCTGCCTACGCTCCAGCAGAAGCACAACCCTCACAATTTCAGTAATTAAAAAAAGAATTATTTATGTATGTAATAACTAATACATACACGGTACTAAGTTCAATAGCACAAAAGGTACAGTGAAAAATAAATCTCCCTTCCATAACTTGCTCAGCTCTCATCACCAAAGACAACTGTTGACAGTTTCTTGTCTATCCTTTCCCTTGCTAAATATGATTTATTGGTTCTGCCACTCTCTGCTTGAGTATTTTAGATTCAATACAAACTTAAAATAAAAAAATGTACAGCATTTTTACTAACCATTTCACAAATAATCAAGTTTTGCCTCCTAAGAGATCTTCATTACCAAATTATACATTTAGCACATACTGCCATACGCTCATGTGCCACATAATATTTCAGTCAACAATGGGCCCATATACAATGGTGATCCCATAAGATTACAATGGAGCTGAAAAATTCCCATTGCCTAGTGATGTGGTACTCCAGGAGTAACAAGTCATGGATGACCCAGCTCCTCTTCCAAGATGCCCTCCTGAATTGCTATGCCAGCGAAATGAAGAAGTACTGTTTGTAGGATAACATACCTTTCAAGATTTTGCTTATTGTCGATAATGCTCCTGGACATCTTCCTTTTATTGGCAATCTTCATCCCAATATCAAAGTGGTGTTTCTCCCTCCAAACCCCACCTCCTGGATCCAACCAATGGATCAAGGAGTTACAGCAGATTTTTAAGGTCTATTACCTGAGGAGGACCTTTGCCCAGCCTATTGCTGCAACTGAGAAAGACACTGATCCAATTCTAGGAGGATTCCAACATCTATGACTGCACCAAGAACCTGGCTTGGGCTTGGGGCAATAGCACGAAGGAGTGTATGAAGGGCATCTGGAAGAAGATATTCAAGAGGTTCATCCATGACTTCAAAGGATTTGCCAAGGATGAGGAGGCTGCAAAAATCAACAAGGCTGGGGAGCTGGCCCAGTGGCACAGCGGTTAAGTGCACACGCTCCACTTCAGTGGCCCGAGGGTTAGCAGGTTCGGATCCCAGGCGTGCACTGACGCACCACTTGTCAAGCCATGCTGTGGCTGTGTCCTATATAAAGTAGAGGAAGATGGGCACGGATGTTAGCCCAGGGCCAATCTTCCTCCGCAAAAAGAGGAGGATTGGCATCAGATGTTAGCTCAGGGCTAATCTTCCTCACCAAAAAAAAAAAAAAAAAAATCAACAAGGCTGTGGTTGAGAAGGCAAACAACTTTAACCTGGGTGTGGATGAGGATGATATTGAGGAGCTCTTAGAGGTGACTCCTGAGGAACTCATGAGTTGTTAGAACTGGAACAGGAACACATAGCTGAAGAACAGGCAAGAGAAAAGGAAACTATAGGAAAAGAAAAAGAACTCCCAAATTCACAGTGAAGCATTTAGCAGAAGGTTTTACAGACCTCAACAAGCTCCTTAAAAAATCTGAAAACTGAAAGGTTTTCATTAATAGAGAGGAATGTTCATGGTGTGCTATCTGCTTACAATCAAACCTATGATGAAAAAAAGGAAACAAACCAGGCAAACCACCAAAGACATATTTCTGAAAAGAGTGACACCTCCTTAAGAAGAGCCTCAGGCAGGTCCTTCAGGAGGTATTCCAGAAGAAGGCACTGTTATCATAGGAGATGGCAGCTCCAGGCACGTTGTTGCCCCTGAAGACTGTCCAGTGGGACAAGATGTGGAGGTGGAAGACAGTGCTATTGATGATCCTGAGCCCGTGTAGGCCTAGGCTAATGTGTGTGTTCGTGTCTTAGTTTTTAATAAAAAGGTTTAAAATAAAAAAATAATAAAAAATTTTAAAAATAGAAAAAAGCTTATAGAATAAGGATATAAAGGAAGAAAATATTTTTGTACAGCTGTACAATGTGTTTGTGTTTTAAGCTAAGGTTATTACAAGAGACAAAAAGTTAAAAAAAATTAAGTTTATAAAGTTAAAAAGTTACAATAAGCTAAGGATAATTTATTATTGAAGAAAGAAAAAATTTTTTTAATAAATTTAATGTAGCCTCAGTGAACAGTGATTATAAAGTCTACAGTGGTGTACAGTAATGTCCTAGGCCTTCACATTCACTCATGACTCACCCAGAGCAACTTTCAGTCCTGCAAGCTCCATTCATGGTAAGTGTATAATACCAAGGTAATGGTATACAGGTGTACCATTTTTTATCTTTTATACCACTATTACTGTACCTTTTCTATATTTAGATACATAAATACTTACCATTGTGTTACAAATGCCTACAGTATTCAATACAGTAACATGCTGTACAGGTTTGTAGCCTAGGAGCAATAGGCTATACCATATAGCCTAGGTGCGTAGAAGGCTATACCATCTATGTTTGTGTACGTACACTCCATGATGTTCACACAACGACGAAATCGCCTAACAATGCATTGCTCAGAATGTATCCCTGTCATTAAGCGATGCATGACTGTATTCTTAACTTCACGATCTGTAAGCTCCAATGGGCAAGAATCCCATCACCGTGTCGTATAACAGAAAGTATACCAGAATAGATTCCTTCCGAAAACCTGGGTTGCAGGCTGGCCATTTACCAGTTGTGTGACCTCTGACCTTTACTTTCCAAATCTGTAACATGTGGATATTACCTCATCTCTACCTATTCCACAGGATTAAAAGGATTCAAAACAATAATACATGTGGAAAGCACACTGGAAACTCCAATGCTGTATAAATGTAAGGTCATTATTATTCATTTGTATCTCTACAGCAACAAGTCCAAAGCCGACCAGATACATAATAAATATTTAATTGAACAGGTATAAGTACACTTCCTATTGGATAAATTATATGCTACATTATATTTACAGATTGATTTTTTCCTTTAGGTTTACTGAATGAATATAACAACCCAATTGTCAACAGAACACCTTTCTTTTGGGGAAAGTCTGACCTCAAAGATCTTATTCATAATGAAAGGAGGTAAATTATCTAGCTGGCTTCTTAATTTTTCTTCTATATTAAGGAAAAATCGTCCTAGGAAGCGCAGGTATTTTATTAAATCCAGCAAGGTTAATAGTTTTCCCACATGAAACAAGAGTTTAGGAAGGATCCAAAAAAGAGCAAAGAGAGATAGATGTATGAGAAGCCATTCAGACAATAATGAAGATTGTCTGCTGTCCAACAGGAATAGAAGATGGTTAAGAAAAACAATGAAGTCCTGCTAAAATATCTCTCTAATTTCTTTAGAACAGAAGATAGCACTCAAAACAAGTAATTAAGAAAGAAAAAGCACAGAAAGGATTAAGTAAATGGTACAGTCAATAAACATCTAAATCAGAGGGAACAAATGGCTGAATGTAGGGAAAGATTCTAACCTTTAGTAGCTTTTGTTAAAAGTTCTCCTTACCTCTTCCACTGTACTAACATGTCGCCTCTGAGTTTTCTTGGGGCTCAAAAGGTTTCGACGACATGAACCACTCCAAGATGGACTTGGAACAGGCTTAATAGGAAAAGATTTTTCATATGCAGACACATGGCAGTGATGGTTTGACTTTCCCATAAAAGTGTTTGATAATACACTAAAAAAAAAAAAAGAGTTTATAAGAAAAGATAAGAACAGTAAGAAAATCTAACCTAGTGATTATTTTAAGAAATAACAAAAACAAAAAATTAAAAGGTAGAGTGACAGATGTACCATTTGGGGGAAATATATAAGAAATGACACATGGGCTGCTGAATCAGGTTCTGCCACTTAAGAGGTCTTAGATCGCCAAACTATATAATTATCAAACACCTAAAATTGTATTTCCTAGCTTCACAATCTATAAGTTCCTTTGGTCAGGAACCACAGACCTGTGAGGTATGACAGAAAGCATCTCAGATTAGACTGCTTCAGACATCCTGGGTTCCAGGTAGGCTGACACACATACACTTTCTATTTACTCCTCATAGCCACCTCTGCCAAGCCCTTTGGAGGGAAGTATTTTAAGATTAAATATGCAAAAATGAATAAAGTTGAAGCCTCTCAACTAAACTTAAACTTAATTTAAAAATTTTCTAAAAGACCAACAGAGGGCTCCCACCCCTCATTAAAACAACCACAAAGCTTTTTATTAGGCTGCGTCACTCGCTATGAATTCTCCTTCCAGCCTCACTACTGACCTCCTCTGAAGAACTTTGTTTTTGTTTCTTCATACTATTTGTACCTCAAATAATGAGAAAAATTGGCAGGAAAAATATTTTTGTGAACTCAAAATCCAGTCTTATCTCTAAGGCCAGGTTAATAATTTAAAGTTTTTTCTATGAGCTCTTTTTCATCTATCATTACCCAGCAAGTTTGAGGTACCTGCTCTCAGCATAATGAATTTTCTCTCATTTTTTTTCTGAGGATGCAGAATAGAGATATAAAGCTGACTAAGCTGAATTCAATGAAATCAACTCTTCAAATCAGTATATGTGATCTGGATCCAAATGAATCAGACTAGGTCTAAAGAAAATCAAAAAGTACATATACTCACTCTCTCTAACTGTCTTCAAAATCTAATGGTTTCTATCTGTGTTAGAGTGGGGAAAGGAGCAAGGACTCAATTTCAAGAACAGGTTTATTTTCTTAGGATGGGTGAATGCAGCTAGGAAAAGATAGCAAGGGCAGTATAATTTCTTTGATGAAAATATTTATGATAAATTCCCCACAATGTCTTGTATTTATGCTTCGTATGGTGTGTGTGTGTGTGTTTTTAACGCAAAAGATGCTTTTGTCTAAAGAACTGTCTGAGGGCATTTCGCGATGCCAGAAAGCATGGGCGCTACCAACAATTACCAAGATAGGGTCAGACACAGACATAAGCTTGACAGAGCTCCCATTGGCCAAAGTTGTGAGAATGTGAGCATTAAAAGAATAATGATTGTAGTGGATTGAAACACACTGAATCCATAATGACACCAAAAAAAGAACAGAAAAATTCATTTGAACCACATGAAGTGGCTATTAAAAGAAAAAAACTTACCCTGAAAATTGGTAATGAAAAAGCAAGATCTAATCAAATGTCCTGCCTTCCCAGTAGGAAATGTATTTCAGGGTAATCAAATAGCCCCAGCTAATGAAGGGAAAAAAGCTCTTCTTTATAGCAGAGTGCCAATTAAAAAGCATAGAAGAAATGATAAAATTAGAAAAATATTATTTCATTAACTTTAATAAAATTATTATCAGGTCAAAGGGAGTCAAAAGGTACAAACTTCCAGTTATAAAATAAATAAGTCAGGGGGATGTAATGTACAGCATGGTGACTATAGTTAATGATACTGTACTGGGATATTTAAAAGCTGCTAAAAGAAAGTAGATGTTAAAAGTTCTTATCACAAGAAAACAAATTTTGTATCTATTTATGGTGATGGATGCTAACCTAGACTTACTGTAGTGATCATTTCACAACATATACGAATGTCGAATCATTATGTTGTACACCTGAAACTAATATAAGGTTATATGTCAATAATTGTTTTATTATTATGAAGTAAGGATTATCAATTGATATGAATAACTGTTAGGCTGATCTGAAACTGTTCATTCATACAATGACAAAGTAATATCATTTAGATTACATTCTAGTAACAAGGGCGAAAAAACCTAACTGTACAATTAAGGACGAGACTGTTATCTCCCTAATCCAGAAGCCAACCCAGCATCACTAATGATAGGAAACCAAGATATTGTAGGTTTTCTGATGTGATGGAACACAGCATCAGCTTTTATTCAAGTCAAAAATCTAGTTTACAAAAAATACAGAGGATAGAGAACAAAACAATGATACTATAAGGAAGAAACCTGTCAAATCCAAAAGGTGCAACGTTATGCAGAAAAAAGTCATGTCATTAAAAAAAGGGGCTGTTCTAGATTGAAGGAAACTTAAGAGTGATAGCTACCAGATGCAGTCCTAAGATGCAGTCCTAGATTGGATACTGATTTGGACAAATTAGCTGCAAAGGACGCTTTTGGGTCAACTAGGAACATTTAAATGTAATTCAGTTAGTGTACGTGATAAAATTTACTGACTGTAAATGAGGAAATGATTGACTTAAGAGTATGCACAATATGAATGCTTTTTTTAAAAAAAAATGTGTAAATGCAGACAGAAACATCTGGAAGGATGTGTACTAAGATATTACAGAGGTGATCTCTCTGGCTGATGGGAATATGATGTTTTTATTTTTGCTTATCTGTATTTTCTAATTTTTTACACGGCACATGTACTGTTTCTGTAATAATGTTATTTTAAAAAATAACAGTATGACATCAAATAAAAAAAGCAACCTGCCAAATGATGCATATAGAATATCTTTAATGAAGACAAAATAATATTATACATTTTATAGTATACAGAGCATTTATATCATGCTATATGAGTAAGAGAGAGTGAAAGAGAAACAAGCAGAGGAAAAGGTTTGGAAGGAAACACACCAGGGGCAGGGAATAAGATTGGAGGTAGTAATGAAGAGATCTTTAGCTTTATCGGCAATGTTCTAATTTTTACAATGTGAATGTATTAATGACTTCTTGTATAATTTTAAAAAATATTAAGAAGTGAGGAAGACCATCCTCGGGAGTACTGACACATGATTCCAGACTCCACATGCTGATAATCATAAAATAAAAGCCACCTTGTTGGTTTCAATCAACACTAGAAAGCTTCAACTTGACTAAGCAGGAAATTAAATCATCCTATATTTCTAAAATCCATCACCAGAGTAAAATTTAAGTAGTCATAAATACTATTTTAAAAAAGAAATATTTTACTAATATAATATAGTAACCGAGGGAAAAGTTTCTAAGCCAAACTTCCTCTGACTTTAATAATCAGTATAAGCTTGGTGAGGGAAAATGCAGGGCTTATGAATTTGGGCTAAATAGGATAAAGTTCTTTGTGACTTTAGGTCTAGTTGACTAAGGCCATAAGGTGCACAGCTGCTTTGGTTTAAGTCAGGTCTCTGCTCATATGAGAGCCTATAAAATGTGCTGGTTTCTTTGCTACTGAAGTTGCAGAAATTGACCAATTCTCACTTTAAGACTCATAATAGCCATACTGATCCCGAAGGCTCCCAATATACTCATATCCACCAAGATTTCCTTCAAAACTCACTCTTCTAACGATAAGATTTAGCTGTCACCAAAATTCAGCACTAAGTAAATTAAAAGTTGAAAGTTTAAAATGGATTTGTCCATACTTCTATGGTTTAAAGTTCAAAAATGTTGTTCCTCTTTTAAAATGCCAAAGTAACAACTATCTTATAGTCATTTTCTCTTACATCAGAGGAAGGGCTTGTGAACTAAGCAGCCAGAATACCTACCTTGAGGTCTTTCGGGTTTCGAGGTAAAGACTTCGGCTGTTTCTTGATTTTTGTAAAGTTGAACCTGATGCTGGGGTGGAATTTCTCCATTGGCCATTTGCACTCTGGCCAAAGGTTCTTAAGTCTCCTGAGCCAAGAAAACTGTCTGAGGAAGGGTTGTCTAAAAGAATAAAAGTTTGAATAAATTAAACAAATATCTACAGTGGTTCTCCATATGACTGTAACCATGTCCAACATTGTATTCCAAAGTAATGTGGCATATCACCATGTCTCTCATGGAAGAAAGATCCCAGTCTCAACTGCCAGTAAAGTCTGCAGTAAGGGAACTTCTATAAACTATAATTGATTCAGCCATACTAACCTGAAAATTGATGAAGGAGCTGAATCCTGCCACAGCCATGTGCCTTATCTGCATCAATGTGACTCCGTGGTGTCCACCAAAAGTCAACATTTTACCCCAACTATATCTTGCAAGCACTCCCAGGCCTGGGCCTGAAAGAAGGTAGGCCAGACCAGTAAGAAAGCAGGTGGAGGGCCAAGGAGAATTGTAATTCAAATGAACAACAGTTATTGCTTAATAAGCAGCTGGTGTCACTTTCTTGTTTTTAATTACCATGTTCACAACTCAGAGGCTCTTCTAAGAGCAGAGATAACCTAACTGCTGCTTATTCTGGCCGGCTTACGGCAGGAATGACCCATCATATGCATCTGGTTCTGGTATGATAACCTTCAGCCACTTAATGCCATAATCATCAGACATATCAATACTCTGATGCTTGCTATTGCAATCAGACTAAGTGAGGATTATTTGTTTATTATTTGAATTTTTTGACTTGTGGCTTATAAGCTGGGATGATAAAAATCTCTTGAAGTTTCAGCTAGAAGTAGAATAATTTCTATATCCCCAATCTCCCTTCAGCAGGATTGAATAATTTAAAACAGCACCTTCAAAACAACTTCAGTTGTTAGGCTACGGAACTCTGAAGAGCACCAGTGGAAAAATGAGAACGATAATTCTCTACTTCCTGAATTTTTGTCTAATGCCAACATCATTTTGAAGATCATCTTTCAAAGCATACTACTATAGAACTTTGCAAAATATCATATATTTATGTTAGTTAAAATATTTAATGTAGCTTTTGATACTCTATCCAAAAAGTAAAGCAGCCAACAAAAATACAAGTTATGTATTGTGTTTTTTTTAGTTGATCAGGTTTATCAGGATTTAAGGTAAATAACATAGAAAAAAATCACCAGTCAGGGGGGTATTAGTACCAGTTGATTCACCAGTGTATGAATCTAATATAATAATTAAATTAAAATTTACTTTCAAAATGAATTATAACCTTTTTCCTTTGCAATCAACATCTATGCTTAGCATCTATTACTATTACTTTAAGGATAGAGACATGAGCCTAAGGAAAATGAGTGTCATTAAAGGACCAGAAAATTATCTTTAAGTGCAAAGTAATAACAGTAGAAATCTTTGTCTCTCACACTTTTTTGTTAAAATTTGATTAGGGAATGATATAACTAGAGATGTCTACTTATACTTGAGGAGTAAGGCTACCAAAAATGCAAATTACCCTGACAGGTGTGAAATCTGAGACTAAAGATAAGCCAGAGTAGCATCCTCAATGGCATTTGACAGAGGCTTCAGCTTTAAAATGCAATGGAAAAGCACAGAATCAGGCGGTGTTTAACCAGAATAAGGTGGTTCCATCCCCACTCAATGAATCACTGATAGTCCTCTATTGCTGATGTGATCAAGCAAAGCCAGACAGGGACCAACGGGGGGCTGCAGACACTTTTTTTAGTGACAGTTTAACCTGGTATTCTGTCATCATTAAGAAATCAGATTACAAATGCCACAAATAAGATTACTTATTATGTGTACAGACACACACACAAAACTATATGGAAATACCAAAAATTTAATTTTGGTTGTGTTCCAATGACAGATTGATGGGTATTTTTCTACTTTACTCCACAAATTTTCTACAAGGACAGGCAACACTTTTAAAATGGACATAATGAAATAAACTTTAGATTTAAAAAAAAGTGTGTCAGGCAATCACTTACTATGAAAGTAACCATCAGTTGCTCCTGTTAACTTTTGGATTTATTTAGTTATTGTAAATAGCAGAATGCTTTAAATCATCTTACCTTCTGAATGCCAGTTTGGCAACCTAATTTAACATATTTCCTAAGGATAAGACATTGATAATGATTCTAAGCATGAGCAAAATCATTTCTTTTCATCTTAATCTATTTTTCCTTGTTTAGGGTATAAAGTTTTAATTTTCTTTCCACTTGTGCTCTTAATAATATCAAGAGGTCCTGAAGTCTGACCAGCACTGTTATTAAAGTGAAAGTGTTGCATTTTCTCTGCTTTCTAAAATTTTTTTTTAAAAAAATCAATGTTTTTAATAGTCTAATCTTGAGTGGATTAAGAAGCAGATTTTTAAAAAGCTTGCTATGGAGAGGCAGATTCAGTAAAACAGTAAATGGGAAGCTCCAGACCCTAGATTCTAAAGTTTGGGGCTTTCCTATGTTTGTTTTCATCTTGGTGGAGGAGAGTACAGCAAGGTGAGAGAGGAGACAAATGCCAATATAGTCAGAAGGAGAAGACTAAGGCAGGTAAACTGGGGACCCCCATCTAGCCCAATCAAAAGGAAAGGCTCGGGGTGACTGACCACAGAAATCAATGTGGGGATTACCAAAAAAGAAGAGATCCAAAGGAGATAGCAGAGATGAAATTACACAAGAGTTGCAACGAATTGGAATGGGTGTGGCAAAGGAACGAAGTTAAAAAAAGTACACAGTAAAAAGTAGATTTGAATTAAAGATTCTATTACAAGAAAAATGTATACAGACCCTCGGCATTCAGATTTACAATTCTGATTGTTAAGGAGCCACCTTGGAGGTCTGCGACATACCATAAGTTTGTCTGGTCAGGGACTAGATGAAATTTGGTAAAGGCACGAATCTGAATCTTCTGCTTCAGGCTGTAATTTAGAGAATGTACCTAATAGCTCAGCAGCCTCATTTCAATATGGCTTTATTATTCACTGCTGTTATTCTCTATTCATCATCATGCATACAGTAACTATTATGAACTAATTTTTTCTTCTTTTCCTAACAAAATGGCCTTCAGGTGAGAGAGAAACCTTTGGTATAAGATTTTGATATGGGCATCAACTTGTGGTATGAGGACAAACACAGGAAAAACATAACTCAAGAATCATGTAACTGAGTAGAAAGCCAAGAATCTGGTTAAATATCACCATAGTCAAGAACATGAGGATTTGAGACGATCTCAGATACATCCTTTGTGAATATCAGGGATCTACAGAAATTTAAGAGAAAAAAACTATACATATGCAAATGTCTTTAAGTCATGTTATTTATAATAGCTGAAAATGGCGAGAGTGAAGGGGACCTAAACCATAGGGAAAATAAGGAAGCAAATGAAGGCACATGCCCATTATCCTAAATCATAGCCCCTTCGGTCCACTTGTGTTTCTGATTTAAAAATTTTTGGAATTTTAGAAAGATAACCCGGTATATACTATTAATGCTTCCAAGTATAATCTGAAGCAGCACCCTATAATCAAATATACTGATATAGCTACAGTGAAATGTACAAATACTCATATCTACAGAGATAAATAAAAGACAAAATATAAATGGCTTCATGTCAGTTCATGTAGGTTTTGCCAAGAAATGAATTTGGGTCAGGTCAGGTTTTGATACCAAACTAATTGTGAAAAAATTTTTGGTTTTCAGAAATTTTTGGATTTTGAATTGCACATAAAGGATTGTAAATATACATATCAATTCCACGGATTATTAGAAATCAATAGAAAAAGGTAAATATGAAGAATAACATGTAAACAGATGGAGAAATAAAAATAAAAATACTGGGCTGAAAAAAGATTATACGTATCGAATCATACAATGTATACCATGCATGCACACAAAGATAAAAATCAGAAAAGGTCACAGAGTTAAGCAAGAGTAGAGTTATGGTCAGGAGATTTTGAGTAAAATGTTATATATATAATTGTTTATCATTAAGTAATTATTTTAAACTAAAAGCAAATACTCTGTCCAATGCTAAATCAGCATATGAAATTATAAGCAAACAGAGTCTGAGTTCAAATGAAAAAATTAATGATCTGATTTCATTATCCACTCAACTGTCCTTCTCCTAAGATTAATAATGAGCTATCAAACGAGATTTCAGGCTCTCTGCTCATCAGAAAGGCTTTTTCAATAACAATGATGGCAGAGTTACTTTCTGAGCTAATTAATTGATTTTTCTATACAAATTATGCACATATGAGGTGGAGACCATTTCCCATCCCATGAGAGGAAATCCAGTGCCCAGAGTAAAGTACCACCCACCTAAATGACATTTAAATATAATATAAATCTAAAAGAACATCATACTAACGTCTTTTTAGGGGAGGAGATCTCATCTTGCTGACAAAGAATCCTGAGGAAGCCAAATAACAACAATGATTATTATTTGCATTTCATATTTATTATCTCAATTTATCCTTATAAAAATCCCATTAGGGGCCGGCCCGGTGGCTTAGCAGTTAAGTGCACGTGCTCCGCTACTGGTGGCGTGGGTTTGGATCCCGGGCCCGCAACGACGCACCGCTTCTCCGGCCATGCTGAGGCTGCACCCCACATACAGCAACTAGAAGGATGTGCAACTATGACATACAACTATCTCATGGGGCTTTGGGGGAAAAAAAAAGGAGGAGGATTGGCAATAGATGTTAGCTCA